GCTTTGGCAGTCTACAATTATAAAAGTGGAAAGTGAGGAACTAGCGTGTTTCAAGATAAATGAAAGCAAAACTATTTTGTAGAGTTTGAGTTTTGGGGGTTTTACGATTGTTTTTTTAAAAATCACAGTTTTTATGCACCCTGACCTCCTGGCAGTGCTGTAAGGAACAACCCTACCTGCTGTCAGCAGCTTTACATATGCAAGAAATTACCATTCTCTTCACCTCCTTTACAAAAGTGAGGTCTGGATTCTGGCAGGGGTTCTGGGGCTAACAACAACAGCTTGTTCAAGGGGGGGAAAAAAGAGCAGGGGAGGGAAGGAGAGGGAACAATCCCACAGTTGCTGCCAACACTGATGCCGTTGCTCCATTGTGGCTGTGCAAGTCAGGCCACCTGGTCTGCAATTAAAACAGTATTTAATGCACAGTTGATACCAGTACATGCTGATACTAGAAAAGGCAAATTCTCTCTGTACAGCCACCACCTATCATACAGGTGGAATGCATCTTGCAGGCTCTTACTGCTCTGCACCACTGCACGCTCCAACAAGGCAAGCAAAATGTTAAAGGAACCACTGCCCAAGGCAGCAGACTGGAGCCATGTGCTGGACACAAACACTAGTCAAGTTCTGGCGAGTGTTTCAGTGATGCCAACCTCCATCTACATGGTAAAACATACGGTTGTACCATATACAGCAGATTAAATATACACAATAAAGCCAGAACATTTTCCTAGAAACCTAACCCCATGCCTCCAAATCAAATGGTCCTAGGAGTAACAGTTGTATTGAATTGCAGATGTGGTGTGAAATTTCACACCTTTGACAGTATTTCATTTAAACAAACTCAACAGGCACAATTTTTTAATTATTAAATCACCTGAAGATTCACAGTATCCCCAGGAACAATTATTCAAGACTCTTTTTCAAGGCTGACTGACTCTTTAATTAAATCTCGTTATCCATACAGACATAACAGGAAAGGGTGTGACTTGACTAGACTTATTTAATGTTATTCATACATTTATTGCTTGCATCTATCTGGTTTGCACAGCTTTCAATAGCAAAGTTGGTTTGTTGTAAAATATATCCAGTAAAGTCTACAGGATTAATAAGGGACCAGGCCTCATTCCTGCTTCATGGCTCAGAGATCCCTCGGCTCGTAGGGGAGATGCATTTTAGCTGCATGGTCTGGTTTCCTAAATTTGCTGACAAAGTCAACATAGGCAATTTAAACTGGTTGGATTTCACCATTGGAGGTCACACCTTATTTTCTGTAAAACAATCCTGCTTCATATTGAAAAATTATGGTCAACTGTTCCCCAAAGATTATAACAAGTCTATCATCTAACAGGTTTTAGGACATAAATCTGCTACCTGTAGTACATTTAAACCATAGATTAGTGCCATGTCTGATTTTTAAAGGAATTAAGTTGGTTTAGTTGTCTGCTATGATTTACTTTCTGCAGTACAATGCTTATTTACTCATTATGAAGTTAAATCTCTCCTAAAATCCATGTTAAAAAGCCACCTCACAAGCTGGATGCCATAGTATAACCTTTAATTTTATGTTCTCTCTCATATAGTTATTTTAATACAAACCCAAGGTCTTGATCACATAAATACATACATTTTGCAATCGACTTCAGGAGGACTACTTCCTACATACAGGGTGAAGTGCATGCATAAGTCTGAGTGATCAAGGCCTATTATACATTACAACCTCTGCACCCTTGTTTGCTTTGTTCACTAAACGAGAAAGCTGTTATTCTCTTTTTTTGTATTTGATAGAGCATTTATTGCCTCACCAAGGCTCTTTAGGATTTTCATCTTATGAAAACGCTATTTCAATTTCTGCTTTGTTTTCTCAACAGGGGATCAGAATAATTTTTATTCCCATCCAATAAGCGCATGCCTTTGAAGGCCATCTCCAAGGCAATCGGCTTTCAAATAGCCTTATTGAAATTCTTGAGATTTCACTGCAGAAAGGAAAACTAAAGTTTAGAACACCAAGCACTTGAAAGTGAATTCCGTGCAGGCAAATGCACAAATACTTGGGTTCGGAAAAGCATTAAACCCAGCCAGTCAAAATTCCCCTTTTTTCTGCTGCGACACCCTCAAGAGTCATCCTGCTTTCTCCTGCCGCTGGTACAGTGAAGTAGACTTTGAACCCTGGCGTCACTCCGAATTCCCTGTCCTACTGAGAGGATCCAGAGTAGTTTACTGGCATACTTCCCTTCCGATCACATTCTGGGAGGCTTCCAGCAATCCTCCTCCTCCTCACAGCTTGCTAAAACAGCTGAAAGAAATCTGTGGCCTTAACAGCAGCCTTAACAGCACTCCACCAGTGCCCTGGGGCACCAAAACAATACAGTACGAGATCCCATGGATGGTGGAGACTGAAACATTACCATTTTTGGAGATGGGGGAACTGGGCATATATACATTCAGGGACTAGTCAGGCCTTAATCCATTTTTATTTTTTAGAGGGAGGGGAAAAGAAGGGGAGCTTGCCTGCCTAACATCATTTCCAGGACTGCTTTAAATCATTTTAGGTCTTAGAACCTTAAAACAGTTATTCTCCAAAGTCCGCATATAGCAATTTCATATCCTTAAAATTACGCAATTTTTGTTCATATAGTAGGCGGGGATTTTTTTCCCCCCCCCCTTCCTCTGTTCCCCTCTACAGCTTCTCCACCAATAGCACAACTCTGACCTTGCTCCCACAACGATGACAACATTCAAGATTTTGCTGATGGCCAGGAACATTTTAATAAGGCAGGGCAGGGCACTCACTACCTGTGATGTTTAGAACAAGAGCAGTCATCTTCATGTACTGAAAAAGCTTAGTAGTAAGAAAGTCAAAGTTAAGTAAGAAAACTGTATTTCCACAATGGTTTAAACAAGGAGATGAGTTGAAAATAAGCATACAGGACAGCATGCCTTTGAGACCCTGAGAGCCACTACCAGGCCTTCAAACCTTACCATTAATTTTGTCATAATTATATTTATCCAAAAATACAAAATGAGCTGGTTCTGCACCATTCTAAGATCGTTTCTATGGAAACAAAACCTTTGGTGAAGTAGGACCCTTGAACTCTAGTGCCCTTCCCTCCATCTGCCGTTCCTTTTAGCAGCCACTTACAAATCTGCAAGGCTGGATATAAAGTTGCAGTAGCTCAAGTCTCACATACTGTTCAAATGGAAGAAGTTTGAGCTGCACAAGAAGTTGGGGGCTGCTAAGCGGTCATAGCTAGTCATAAATAGATAAAAGAAAAGAAACACATTTAAATTGATACATGCACAATCCATCAAGCCAGCCCAGAGCATTCTGCAGTAATTCTTTAGATAAGAGTGGATGCTTTGGTCCTTGTTCACATCACTTTGCACCAGACCAGAATGGGTTTCTCAGTTCTCTTTAGTGGTGCCCATGCTTATTAGTGCTCATTCTTTTTGGGTATTTATGCTGAAAGCTGTGGGAGGCAGAGCAGTGGAGAGTACAAAGAAAAATGATGATCTATATGCTTTCCTCTGCTGCGAATGCCATTGATGTCCACACATTTCTGTTCAGTATCTTATATCACAACGTTTCTTAATTGCAATCTCTGGGCACTGAGTGGCAGGACTAACATCAGCTGTGGGAGGCTTCCCCTCTCTCTGCCGGGGGAAAAATTAAGTGAAGACCAGGTGGATGATGCACCTGAAAACTGCTCAGGTTTGAGTCAGGAGTTTCTGCCACTGGCTTGGACCAGCTCCCCAAGGCAGCTGTTGCCTGAATAAACGAGCTTCACCTTGCCTACGGGTCCCCTAAAGAGTCTTGGGAGGATTTCTCCATGAATGCCAGGATGCTTGCCAGAGGGCATCTTGCCTGCTGCTTCTTAGAGAGGAAGGACTCTACTAACTAACAGAACCTGCTCAAAGGACCTTCCACAGATGAACCTAAGCTTCCTGGTCCTTGTGTTGCTTTCCCTCTACACAGGGACCAGTGACGTTCTGTTGGAGAGCACCTGCTGCTTATTCCTAGTCCAAGAAAAAGGGCATTTCAAACACTTCAGCATTTTTATACTGGGTAATTGACATGATTCATTCACGTCTATGCTCAAGGGAGAGAAAACAGGAAAAAACACTTAGCAAGTCCTTGATTTGGTTCAGCCTTGACTATGACAGTGATGCATGCTGTAGGGAGCAAATTCAACCTCCTTCCAGCTAAAATACCATTTAACAAACCTAAATAACTTATTTTTCTGAAGTAACTTGGGAGAAATAAAAGGTAGGCACCCACTGTAAGGAGTAATTGTATTACCGAGGCTGCAGAGAAGGAATGTTTGGGACCAGGGGGAACGAGCTGCAAAACCTGACTGAACAGAATGATATACTAATTAGCAATGACTACTTTTTGTGCCATCCAATTTCTAGAGGGTTTTTCTTCTGCAACTGCTATGACTCAAGTTAAGTGGCAAGGATAACTCTCCCCTGCCCTCAGCTGGCCTCGGGCATATTTCTTCTGGCAGAACTAAATCCCGACTTGCACCCAACGTGCCTTCCGGAGGAATTTTACACATGCCATCTTACACGTGCACAAAAGAGGGAGCAGGGACAGTCTCCAAAGATCTGGCATCTAGATTACAAAGATTTAGATAGACTTTATATCCAACACTGCCTGGCAGGGAGTCATGTGGAAGTATATAAGAGAACAGGAAAAGAATTTATCAAGTGCAGCTCCTATTTAATTAAGTTATGGTATTGCCCGTTTTCAGCCTTTAATTCACAAGTATCCACATTTGTACAAGGTGGGCATTTCAGTAACTTCTACAGCTTTCAGTAAGTGCTACCATCTTTCAATCACTAGTTGGGCACTCTGTGCCCCTTGTATAAACAGTAGCTATTTGAAAATTATTTACAGTGAGATGCATGCATGAGAATTGTTAATGAAAAGATACTGGAAACAGGGAATCATTGTCCTCTAATTAAGACTGTCGTGATAATGGCCAAGGTCAACTCACCTGGAGAGCCATACTCATGCCTGGGCAACCTACAGATCTTAGGCATCACTTCCATTAAGGTCTTCACATACTGAAGAATCGTACCTTGCAGCTGAAGGAAGACAGATGGTCATAAACACATTAGTGCTGTTGAACTAACAATAGCCCCGTTTATGCAGTTCAATCTACAGCTGGCTTGAATAGGTTTTAAAAATCCTGTGCTTCTTCACTCTGCAAGTCACCATCCTTTCTTTTCATACTCTTAAAAACAAACACAAATACTCATAAAACACCTTTTAAAAAATACTCTAGTTGAATTATCTACACAAACTTTCCCCAAAAACAGACCAGACTGTAGCTTTAATAAGCTTCCAATTACCAGAATTACAATTTCACATTGTAAACCTTGAACAAGTGAACTGACAGACAGTTTAATGCTTGAGAACCTATGAACATTTATGTGAATAAATCTACTTTCTTCAGCAATACCATCCATGTACATTAAATTATTAATATGCAGGAACAAGGTCTAAATGACCAAGTTGCACAATGCTTTTTTCCTAACTTCTGTCTTTCTTTAGGCTCCTTCCAGCAGACATCCTCCTCTATCAAAAGGCTGTGATGACTGTGAAACTCAAGCTGAGCTGGTCCTACTCACAAAAGTTAAAATACAAAATATTGATGACAACTGCGTAGTGCAAGAGGATGTAAGTTTGTGGCTGGACCTTCTGAAAAGAAAAAATGAGCCAGCATTTCCAGCTTATCTGACTATATTTATGATGATTTTAAGCAGGCTCCTCTTGGTCTGGTCTGTAACTGCGTGAAATGTCTATTGTTGATTAATTAGTACAGTTAGTATTTCTTTGCAATTAACTCATGTTTGTGTGTAGGAAGAGACATTCTCCATATGGGCTTTGATAGGTGTCTCCTCCTGATTTACTTCTGTTTTGCCTCAGTGGTTCCCTTTGTCACAACCCAAAGTTGTGATTTTCTTGTTTGTGTGTGCTTCGGCATCGCTAAATTGTGTTCCTGCTAAATTGCAGCTCTTTTGCACAGGGGAGTGTTCTGTTGCAATTAAGAACCCGCGTGCAGGAGTTTTTCCCGCCAGTTTTGTAACCTTCTTTGCATCATGCATTTCTTTTGCATTATAGTGATGCACGGTACAAAGACGTTCCCGCCATTTGTATTAGGATTTCCGCCACATTATTGGCCAATCTTAATACAGGCACACGTGGAGGCTAGCTATTGGCTTGCTAGCTGTACAAAAGGCTTGGGTAGTTTCCGCC